TGCGTTCCTCACAAATTCACAATGATTTCTTTATTACTTATAGGGGCGTTATTAATGATCGTGATGGCATTATTACAATTCAACCTGTTGCACTATCACTCCGTAGACACTTAAGCGTACTTCAGAAAAAAATAATTTATACCCATTGAAATGAATGAATAATTCGAAATCTTAACACCGATTGTCAAGTATTAAATCCCACTTCTCATGTGGTAAACAACACCATCGTAGTTCACGTCAATTTTATTACACCTGTGAAAAAACTGGACATACTCACAAAGTATGTTAGAGTTCCAAAATGTTAATTACATAAAAATAAAATGATTCTGAACCGAGATTAGTTAGTTTCAAGAAGCTAATGGACTTATTCTCACTCACTACTGCATGCAGCAATACCTCACGTTTGATTCAGAAGTTGATTACTTACCCAGTTAAAGTCCTGTATTGAACAAAACACGGGTGGGGACAATCGAATTCATTGGTCACAAAATCACAGAGCATCTCAATAAAATCTGAGAACAACATATTAAATCGTTAATTTGCAAAATGTTCCCCTATTGTTTCAAAACGCCTCAGACTTCAATGTCTTTGCATTTTCATACAAATTGTATCCTATTTCCACTCTTGCTTTCTTGATCTTCCCCCATCTTCTGCTGCCAGACATTACATACCTGACTCGCGTCACATACTACTTATATCGATATAAGTAGCACACACCACAGTCCCATTCATTTGTTAATAATACTGCTAGTATTGAAATTACCAATTCCAAGAGAGATTTATTGTTCCCATGTAATCATGAGCATCTACAGGAAAATCAATCACTGGTATAATTAATCACAAGTTTCCGATTATTAGGATAATCGAAATTGAATTAAAGAAAAGTAGTTTGCTTAATATTTCTTCCCCTGTTAATGAATACGTCTTACCTGTGCTTTAGCTAGTGTATTGAACACTTAGATATCCCTGTGCACTAATTTTTTCTGAAATTAACGAAAGGTTCAATCTAACAGTGCTATAAGCCCTTAAGTAGTATGAAAGTAAGGCCTATAGTTCTAGAAATAAGGGGAAAACCCATTTGCTTGAAGTGTAGGTTGACTCCATTTGGTTCACGAGTCCAAAAGTTTAGAAAAATTGGTTGGAAAAAGTATATTAATTCTAGCTGAATTATCCAACAGAATTACTAATGTAGCTCCAAGAATCGATGGGACAACATCTAGGATTTATGGTAATTAACTATTGGCGCTTAATACTCAGCTACTGAAACCAAGTTATATATGTGAAAAACTGAAGACTTTACAAAAAGAGCTCAAAAATATCTCATTAAAATACACGCGAGAATATTTGCAATTCCCTACGGATGAAGTCTTCGCTGAACTTGTTACTACAAGTGCTTCACTTTGACTAAATGTCTATATTTCCAAATAAAGAAATCCCTTCTCTGTTTCAACCCACATGGTCCGAGTTTATCATAAGCGCATTTGAATTCAATCCCACTGTTGATTATTTTGCCGAGTGAATTAGACCATCTCTGGTCTTCAAGGTACTAAATTGTATTAGGATGATATAGTCCTTACAGTAAATATTGAATTGTATAACGAGTCTTTTGAAGCGATTTAGACGCTTTTATGATACAAATCTTGCAGTAAAGCCATTCAAATGTCACTTTCAACTCGATCTTACCAATTTCCTGTCCTATACTATAGATGTTAAAATTTTTTAAAACTGACATGAATAGCTCAGCTTCACTAACACAAACACCCTTATTGAATAATTTAGTTCTCAGGTGAAGGATTAGTACCCTTCAGTTTTATTCTTAAATTTATGCAGCGACTATCACTAATTATTAATTTGTACAGGAAGAACATGAGAATACATTATGGAACATTTTGTAATTTATTGAGGCTTTTTCAAATCGTTCTCACCAACTGAATAGCGTACTGATAATTAGAACTTTAAATACAGATGTTGCTCCACTGAGAATAGACGTAACAGAACAGGAAACCCGTAACTTTCATATCGAGATGATTAAACAAAAGTAAGGAAGTGTATCCCCAAGCACAAAGAGAAAACCAAGCTAGTCTTCGGGCATCAAAAAGACGGTATAAGTATTTCTCGGTGTAAAACATAACACTGAGGTTGATTTAAAATAAAACAAGACTGCTTTATTAGACGTCTGGAATAGATCAGTAGCGCAATTTAAAAATTGTTCTTATAATTTTACCGTTGCAAAAAAGTATATCACGCACAAACTCCCCAATAACTATTTTTCGGAAAACCGTTCAATGAAAGTAATAGTTAGTTTGACCGTTACCTTTCGATAGGATACAACTTGCAGAACATATTCGAAAGTGTCTTAGAGGTACCATAAATGGACTGAGAAGAGGTTGGAACGTTCAGAGCAAGTATACGCTTCCTTAATTCTACAAAACGAGATATATACTAACTTCCTGAAGGCGTTTCACGTTCAAATGACCGCTAAGGATCCCTGTGGTTAATCCTATAGGGCTTGCTATCCTCCGTCACTAGCTATAGCCTTTACAACTTGTTTAAGGTAACAGTAAGCAACTAGATATTAGATGAAGACGAATAAAATCATTCCTCAAATAGCCTCACCCATGGCCCCAATCTTCTGAGTTGAGTGGGTCACTGTTCGATTCTTTTCGGAACCGGTCTCGTTAACACTAGACTTTGAGACACTTGCTTCTGTGATAATCCTAAAATATGACCAATTACCTACTGCAACTTCCTTTGCTCTCACTGCTCATGACTGTCGTTGACTTTAATCAGATGCTCACAGTTGCCATCGCCTTTGGTGGCTGGTGCGGTGAATTTTTGGGCATCCATGGGTCCAATAGACAATACTGAAATCTAACGATGTTGGGTCATAAGAAAAACCCTGTCCATTCATACAAAAAACCACTAAAAAGGTCATAAAAACGCCTAAATTAGTGAAATATGAACCTGCTTATTTATTACCGTTGTTTTGTTTAGATATAATTGTAATCTATATTCATCGCCTATTCAAACTGCTATCTAAATCATGGAATCTCATAACCCCACCATATCCAACAAGTACTTACCATCTGGACATCCCGTAATTTCCTTACCAATTATCCTGACGAAATAATTATTAGGTCAACAGTGCATTAACAAACTCCTTAGTTTTAAACCCAATTTCCTGATCTGTAGCCTTACTACGAAACATGAAATGCAGATTGGCGCGAATGAATTCAATCTGCACTTTTTGGTTAGTCCAATAAGACTGGACGTGACAGTTTTTGTTTCACGACCCAGTTGTGTATTTCGCTAGCCGATACATGTCTCATCGAACCCATAGAATGAAAAAGTTGTTCCCGATACAGTACTAACTTCTTCACTGTTTTTCCGATTACTTCCAAGCTATATACAGTTAGACGTGAGACTTATAGAAATTTTCGACTATTAAAGGCTTTAAACAAATGATTAGCACATCACAAGGTAGTGTCAATTTTTCTAGGGCTATTAAGCTGTATGCACAAAGTTTGTTATATTAATTATTCATATGAATAGAGATACTAAACGCCCAAAACATTCAGTAAGTTACGGCTAGTGAGGTTTAAACTAAGGTGTCCCAGCCCTTTACACAAGTTGAGCAATGAAATGCGGCGCACACACATTTGGTGCCCGCTTACACTGAAACTTGTGCACCTCCAGGCCAAACACAACGCCGCCAGCTTGATAGTCTCACCACACGCAGCACTCCAAAGGCACCAACTATATATTAGTAGCCTCGAAATGGAGAAGCACCCACGAGGATATAATCGCGTTGAATAGTGTTCGACTTTTACCTTTCAGTTAGGTGGTGGAAATCCCAAATATCTGAAGCCTCATAGTTTGGAATTGATTTAAAACCTCTGACGACCCCGGCAGTTGTGAGCACATCATAGTTCTCAATGTAATTCACTATGTCTTATGCCTGATAATTAATAATAGGCAAACTTGCCTTTCGACCAAGCTATACGCCACTCCACTAACTACAGAGTCCTAACACGAGGACTTACTGGACGAATGCGGATATCAGGGCGAGGAAGGTCAATAGAATACATCAGGAATAATAATGAGATGACTTACAGGCTGTTACAGAAATTTATGAGAAGAAACTCCAAACAAAATACACATATTTTTCACTGTAGTTTGCCAAAGACCGCTTAAAAATTACCGCAGCATGTAATTGACGATCGAATGAGAGGATGGATACAGGATTTGCCCGAATATAGTCCTCAAAAAGTGCCAGGAACCACCTAGGGTTGTCGGTCACTGCTACAGCCACATTCGCAGCTACCTTACAGGCAACCACCTTAAGATCGACTTGTTAAGATTACGTCTTCCTGAACCGTCGCAGTTAATTTTATTGGTTGTTGTTCTAGCTCACGAATAGTAAATGCTCTCCAATGGCGGGAACTAGACAATAAATTATGACGGCCAACTTAGCTGCAAATTATCTCAAAAGTGAACAGAAGTCGGATAGTGTAACGATTGTTCCGTAGACAAGTTTAATTCAAAATATATGGATGTGATAATGTAAATGGCTGTTGTTAAGGTTAAGTAAACACATCGAATGGTCCATATTAGATGTGTATATCATATAGACAACCCAAAATGCACATCCGCGATCCAAACCACGGATATAAATTAATCACATTAAGCGGATGCACACTGAACTCGCGGATTGGAACTCTCAGAACCATCTGCATCTTCGTATACCTCGCCACGGCGCTCCTGTTGCTGGTGATCAAACTCAGGATCGAACGGATGCAACTCAACCGATTCTGCATCTTCGGGAATATCTTCAATACAAGTAGGTGGAGGAAGTAACTTTCGCAACGAATCCAGTTGGGTTTTAGAAAGAAAGCCATTCTTCGGGAATGATATGTCAAACTTGATAATCAACCGGCCTTTGTCGAACGGGTTTTTTGTATCTTGGCATTCCTTCTCCTTCAATCGCACGGAAATCTTTATTAGTATACACCTCACCTAATAAAGAATTCATAAGACCAAAAACGTGAGCCTACCCGGTCTGGAAGTTATCACTAGTGTCCGATCATCTAATGATCGTATTGTTCGCTGGAAGCCACACAAGGCTTCAGAGAGTGATAATTCTATAGTGTGTATCAAGTCGTTTCGACGTCTGATGAAACGGCTATGCGGTTGCTCATCAAGGGTAATAATAAGATCGCCGGGTTCTAAGCCCGGTTCGCGATCACCTTCGTCATGGAATTTGATTGTTTGACCATCAGTCATCCCTTTGTCTATTGGGACTTCAATCACCTTGGTTTCGCGGACAACTTTTCTGCCTTCACACTTTTTGCAACAGTCCTTTGGATCGATAATTTCTTTTTCGCCCTTGCATGCACTGCAGGTAGTCTGTATCTGCTGAACGAACCCGACGTTTAACTGGCGAACGTGAGTCTGGATGCCTGTACCTCGACATGTGCGGCAGGTTACAACGGCACCCGCCTTGCCACCACGACCTAGAAATAGCAAGTTTGAGTACGCGGACTTACCTTGGCACTGATCACATATAACCTTTCGCGTAACACCAAGTTTCCTAACACTGCCATTGTATAGCTCTTCTAAAGTCACTGACAACTGGTGCACACAGTCTTTGCCTCGACGGGGTCCGCGAGAACGACCACCCCCGAAGAACATTTGGAATATATCCATTGGGTCAGCCATTCCACCTGAATCAACGCCACCCTCCTTAATTCCTTGCTCGCCTCTTGCATCATATAATTCTCTTTTTTCAGGATCGCTCAGAACCATAAATGCTTGAGAGATTTCTTTGAACTTTGTCTGTCAAAGTAACACTGGCTAACATACCTTATCTGCGCTATCCGGATTTTTATCCGGGTGATATTTAAGGGCTTTCTGGCGGTAGGCCTTTTTTATTTCCGCCTCAGTGGCGGTCACAGGGACGCCGAGCAGATCATAGTACTTCCTTTCCTTCACCATTTCTGTCAAAATCCGCTCTCACTGACTGCGGGCGGAACTTTCTAGACTGAAGAGGAGCAGATAAACAATTGACACATACTGTAGCCTTCACACTTTATAAACAAAGATAATAGATGTCACCTATTATACTTATTTGATTCGGTACCTCTGTGAAAATTTTCATGCCTTTCTTAAGTATTAATTGGCTGAGGAAAATATACGTCACATAAAACTAATTATTTTGATGGTTGAAAGAATTCTTCACAAGCCTAGACATTTTAAGGCTTTAAGCGTTTGTATCTCCAGAACGGGGCTCAACTTTGACTAACATTCTGGTTTTTATATTTTCACACTGTAGTGGTTAGACACATGCAGTATTTTGTCGGCTTTTAACTCATAAGTTAGACATTAACATGTAGATATTCAACATGATTTGTCTTGTGCTTTTATGGTTACTGTCTTTATCCGTGACTACAAATGGATGAAGTTAAACATATCTGTTACGTGTTACGGGGGAACCGGCAACACTGTTCGAGCTTCCAGAGGCAGTTCAATTAGAGAACTAACGTACATAGAGTTTCTAGTCAACCTGCTTATAACTAAAGTATTGTTAAAATCCCCCTGGATTGGGGATGATGCTGATCTTGATTGTGCCTGACGAAAAGTAGGCACCAAATGAATAAAACCAATAACATAGAGCTGAAGAAATGGGTCAAAACACTTACTCTGTAAGCCCTCTGATTTCTGCAAGTCAATTCACAGATCATTAAAGCTTATCGGAGCTGGTACTATGTCAAACCCACATAGGTTATTCCGGCCTCTGGACAAGCCAAACTATTTGTTCTTCTTACCAAGCCATATTTTTATTTTGTCACTTATTTGCTTATTAACCCTGACTGTTTTTATATGGTCTTATGTGTGTTAATTGGTTACTCCATTCATTGTGTCTGTATCGAGTCACGCTTGATTAAAACGAGCTGTCGAACTCGTCATCTTTGCTGCGCGCCACTTGGTCTCGTTTTGCTTCGCTTTCTTCTCCTCTTCTCTCCAATTGTCTGTTCAGATCAACGATTGTGTGAAACATACGTATTCAAAATCCATTTTCGTATTAGACTTATGAAATCCTTTATTCATTAACGCGATTTGAGCCAATAATTATATACGGGGTAGCTGGGATGAATATTTCAATAACAACCACAATGCGATCTTACTCGAGTCAGATATCAGATCAATAAAGTGATTAGCCGGACGTTACGATGCGATTAAATGGAGTCAGATACACGAGTGCCACTAAAATTTCAACAGTCAAGCAGGATGAAGCTTTCTCTTATCGAGATTCCGTATCTAGTAGCAGTAGATCGCCGATCCCTTAAGGTAGGAACCTAGGTTTCTTTGCGATAAAAGGAAAAATATTGCCAAACCATGGTGATATACTATCTTAGTCGTGAAGAATGTATCATTATTTCCATTAATAGACTCCTGAGGACTCGCTTGGACAACATCACATAGCAGCGAATACTGAATTAGACTACTCGTAAAGAGTAAATAGTGTGCCTCCAATCCGTTCTTCAATGTCGTGTATCTAATTTCTGGGTGTTATCCATAAGGTATTTTTGGGACTGTGCTTAAGTGGGTTTCTTTAGAAGCCTAGGAGTGCTTAGGATGCTACAAGCCACCTGGTCACCTCGGAGTCGCCCATACTCCAATGGGTAAAGGTTCAGTGACTTGAGAGGCTCTTCATGAAGTCTGAATCTGAGTCTCCGAATTTATTTCGTGGCTTGCCTTGGGACAAAGTTCAATGTATTTTTATCGTTTCGAAGTGAAAAATGAGACATTATATTCCCATGCTCCAAATATGGCCAAATAAAACCGTCGAGGATTAAATGAGAAGTTCTGCCGTCGAGCTATCCAAAACTGCTTCGCATCGTTACATGTGCAAAGTTTGCTCGCGAGGATTCCCGTCGCAGTTAGAGCCAGATTTTAGGTCATAATGTACTAACACCCCTAGGTCACTTTCAACTTTCAGAGAGAAGCTATCTAAGCTATATGCATAGTCTGAAATATGTCTCAGATGGACGGTCATCTATAAAAATTCGGAAAAGAGGTCTCAGTACTGAATACTGAAGAAACCCACTAGGACATTCAATGGCCTGGGAAAAAGCACAGTTTACCTCGACCCTGAAAAGTCGATTAATTGTATGACATATGAGTCATTCAATTTACGGTAAATTGACATCTTAAGGTCTGAGCTCATTGATGAGACACGTCAACCCTATCAAAAGCTTTTGAAAAGTAAAAGTAGTAAACATTAACCTTCCCCTTCAGATTTACTATGGATGCCCACCTGTCTATAGCGGTCAGTAGGTTGGTTATAAATGAATAACCCTTGCCGGGACCGTTCTGTTTGCGTAAAAAGAGGTTTATGGGTAATAAGTAGTCACGTAGACCACCGAATATCAAGAACTCCATAATTTTGACGGCACTGAGAGGAGTGCCATCGGCCTGTAACTTAAAAGCTCGCTGCGTCGACCTCCCTTGAATAATGGTGACGTGCGCCTGCTTCCAATATCCCGGTCCCGTTCCTTAGCTAAGCGAATATGAGAACACCACGTTAAGCGGCCTTTCCAAGGTTAAAGGCGCTCCCCTAAGTATGGTAGGATGGACCATGTCCGGGTCAGAAGTGTCCTTGTTTAGATGCTGCAGTTTTTGATATAACAAGTCAGCGTCCAGTTTCACTACCGCTGTAGTGAACAGAACACGGGTGGTGACAATCGAATGTATTTGACACAAAATTACAGAGCATCTCAATAAAATCTGAGAACTATACATTTAAATCGTTAATTTGCAAAATGTTCCCCTATTGTTTTAAAATGCCTCAGACCTCATTGTTCTTACATTTTCACACAAATTGCATTCCATTATCGCTCTTACTTTCTTGATCTTCCCCCATCTTCTGCTACCAGACATTTCATTCCTCACTCGTGTCGTATACTACTTATATCAATGTAAGTAGCACGCACCACACCGCGAGTCCTGCAGAGTCGCAGGTGAAGCTCTCGTCGATTGGAGACGGTTGAAATGTTTTTAAATGCTGTTCTGTCAGAGGGTCAAGAATGTCACCATCGTCAGGCCATTTGTGCCTAAAGACTGAGAAAATCTGGTTTGGGATTGTTGAAGAGAGTCTGTATGACGGAATAAACCTTTCTAATTGAAGAAAAATGTATCTATTAGCTTCATCAGATATTGAAGAATATTGTTTATGATTGCCATTGTGCGCTGATTCCTTGCTTGTTTGTACAGTTTATGCCTGCTGTTGTCACTATAACGTTTATACTCCACCCAGTAGTGCCTTTTGCTTCTTAGAATTCAATTAGTGCGATTCTTCATGACTGTACGTTGTTTGAAATTTCTGAGGAGCTCTTGTATGACACTCTGTTTTGCGGCACATAGGATAGCGTGCCATGAGAAACTTCAATGAGCGTCAATATCAACATTCCCAGTCCATCTGGTCTAGATTGGCCTGTAAAACTGAAACGTCCAACGGTTTTAAATTCCAACGTCTGTTGTCAGCAGGATGTTCCAGCTCAGTTTTGCTGATAAAATTAAGGGCTATGACAACATGGTCGCTCTTATCCAGGGGAGCTAGGATTGATATGTTATCACTTAGAAATTCTACATTTGTTAGTATGCACGCTGAGCATGACGACGTCCGACTATTTCTCCTATGAGTTGATATTCTGGCCTGACATTTTTGACCAATCCCAAATCTTCAATGAGGTTGAAGAACCGAGCTCTATTAGAGTTGTTACCTCTTATATATGTGTATTTAACATAGTAGACTTTAGAAAGATTGAAGCTTCCTAGAATCAGGATGAGAGTTTATCCGAGACGATTAGGGAGGAATGCTCTATTCAGCATACGATTGTCGTTTTCTGTTTAGGCGTTTTGTAGATGACCCCGACTAGACATCTAAAGATGTAACAATGTCACTGGGTATCATACAGATTTACTAAGATTAATAAACTCTTCGGAGTATATTTCGCGCCTGTAAGTAACCCTTGTGCTACTGACAGAAGAAACCAGACTAGTGATGAATAGGTCTTTATTTAGATCTTAGCGCAGTCACAGTGTAGCGTAGGATTACCTGTTCAGACAAACAAAGCCTCTCAACATTCTGTATAAGATAATAAGGGATATGACGCCTATATAAAATAAGGAGGCGAATGAATACTTGAACTTTACTGTTTTTACATTTGCTTAGTTGTTTGAGGTCAGCTCTTAAGCAATCAACCTAAGCTGTTACATATACATGTGTTACTATTGCCCCATTCCATATCCCTGTTTTTCCGTCTTTTCAAAACAAAGACATGCCGGGTATTGCAAGCCCCTGGTCCGTAGTTTGAGGTATCAATGTTTCAAATATTCCTATCAGATGAACATTATTAGCGACACCTAGCTCACGTAATTCACCCATCCTGTTCCGTAAACTCGTGTCGTTCATATGAGGGCAGTTTATACTTTTGATTTGAAACGCGTGAGCTCCTTGTCCCGTTTGTCTGAATGAGCTTTGTGTGAATGGACAAGCGACCCCTGTATCTTCTACGTTTTTTCTTCGATCATGACAGTCCACAAATGCAATACTTAGTTCCAATTCACTTTTGTGCTTGGTCTCTGTATCGTGTGGTCTGTCCGGATGCGTTTGGATTCTTGTTAGTAACTGACAGCGGTTGACACTGATTGTTTCGAGAGTGGCAGCCGCCGTTTGCAAGGGTGGGAAGGTTATTCTCACTAGCCAAGATCTAGAATCTCCATCCCTGCTAAACGATCACAATGCTTATTGGATCAATACGTACTTTAGCTTCAAGGACTTTCCTACAAATTTCCACTTCAGAATGTTACAGTCTTCATAATTAAGGTCCGTGTTTTCTAGAACGCATGGATAGTGATATTTCACCCGCGAAAGAACGTCTCATGAGATACTTTAGGAGTGTTCCTGGTGAGAGTGCGCTCAGAATATGGTA